ACGAGCCGGAATCTTTTGTCCGAACGACGCGGCTAATTGCAGCCAGAGCCCGAGGACAGCAACAGCGGCAGGACGAATGTGCGGGGCTCCGCTACGCGCCTACCTGCTCCAACGACGCTGGCGGGGAGAGCCAAAGCGGCTCAGGCTCGCTACGATTTCTCCCGAAAATTTTACTAGCGTATTATTCAGAAGTGCCGCACTTTCGATTTGTGCAATGAAAAGGAATTCCTTGCTCTTTATTTTTCAAGCGCATACTTCTGTCGAGGCGTACTCCGTTAAATGCCGAATTCGTCCGAGCGCCGCCTTTCCATTTGAAGAATCAGCCGCACGACAGCGCTTGTGAAAAGTGTGACCGGGTCATCGAACTGGAGCTGCTCGTCGTTAAAAGTATTACCGCTGGATCTTAACGGTGCCGAAGGTTGCGCCATCGCATCGCGTCGGGAAGGAACCGGTTGTGTTTGCCTCTTTCTCTCTCTCTCTCTCGCGCGCGCGCGCGCGCAGAGAGCCGCTACAAATAAGGAACATCGTAAAGTGAAATTATCTTGGCAAGCAGCGTGCGCGTGTAATAATAAAAAGGGCATACGCGCGATGATTGTATCTGCAGCGCGCTCTGGCCATTCATGTGTTTTATCGGGAGTGTATCTGCGTCAGTCGAGGAGAGTTCGTTTTCCCATCTCGGATCTTTATTATTTTTATTGGCGACCGTAGAATCCTCGTGATATCGTTGTGGTGCGTTTTGATCGGCCGGAAACGCGGTCATCGCGATTAGCGTCTCGGTGCTTTTCCCACCCAAAATCAGTCAGAGAAGAAACGTATGAACACACATGCCGACAAAAAAAAAACAAAAGAAAAATTCGGCCGTTATCCGTACAATCCCTCGACAAAGCCGCACGCACAACACTCGCTGGGCTGGCGACGTCAAGTGTATATAGTGTGAGTTATACAGAAGTGCGCAGGTGTATAAATCCTGAAAAACAAAGAAAGAAAAGCATACGCTCGCGCGTGTGTGTACCGTAAGCTGCGCGCTGCAGAGGAAAATTAAACATCGGGCGTACAGCGGGGCAACCATACAACTATACAGCTTGACGTATATAGCGGACTTTCTCCTCTCTCTCACTGAATGTGTGTACGTAGGCAGGTTTGTTTTAAAAGCTCTCCCGCTCTCTCTCTCTCTCTCTCTCTCTCTCTCTCTCTCTCTCTCTCTCTCTCTCTCTCTCTCTCGCACGGCGCACGCACACGTGCAGTCAATGAACCTTACGTGAGAGAGAGGATGTACTTTGGGGTTACATACGAGTCGACGAACTCTCGGTCGTGCTGGGTAATACGTAATGACTCCTATTTTCTTTTCTTTTCTCTCGCTTGGGTTATTGCCAAAGAGTTGGCGGATTGTAAGACTTACTGCAGCATTTGTCAATGGGTGGAGCTTTTGATGCGATCGAATTTTGATATTGAGACACTGCGAAAGCTGACTAGAAAGCATAGATCGACGACACTTGCAAATGCGATAACTGCTGAGTGTCATGAGAGAATGTAGGTGGCTTTGCGTGGATTTTCACAATCGAACATCGAAGTCGTTTGCTCATCGAGAATTCAAATTTCTAGGATACAGAAAATAACTCATTCCGATAACCTGAGAAAAATTTTTACAAGTAATTGTTCTATTAATGATGCAAATAGTGTCCAGAACTTGTACATATGTAGAGTACTCTAATGAAAATAAAATTGGACTACATAAGTATCTATTTGATGCTACAGTATCTTCAGAATAATGTCAATGAATTTATTTCATTTTTTCTTCGAGTAAATCTCCTGTCTCGAACCGATTTTCGAATACAATAATTTACATTATTATAGAAATGAGGAACTGAGCTATTTCCTAATGTATATAAGTATCGCAAAAGTATGTTTTAAGCTACGAATGTATTTACCGGAATTATAATACATTGATAAACTGATATGAAAAAAATAGAGTGCGTCATTTTTATTCAGTGAATTATTCGAAAATTAGTATTTTTTCGAAATAGTCAGTTACTCGAAAAAGTGATATTATATTATACAGTGATTGATCTTGAAAGTTACCAATGCAAACATTTGAATAGTAAGTCGTATATTTGGAAATCCGAAATAGCGGGTGATGACGACTTTCTTATTTATATACTGATAATCATATGACATCTGTATTATAAGAAAAGTTAAAAATAAATTAACGTGGAATTATTTTAAGTACTTTTTTTATAATTTTTTCTCACATCAAAAAAGAAAAAAAATTAGTTTATAGAAAAAAAATATTTTCAGCGAGCTGGATAACAAAATAGAATATCTCATGTAACTATACAGAAAAATCCAACTAACAAAATACAGTTGGTATAGTGTTATATACTAATCATAAAAATAATTAACAGCAATCAATCCATGTATCATACCCTACGTCTGTTCACCCCTTACAACACAATTTACCTCGTGTAAATCCAAGCAGCTAATTTTCAGGAAATCACATAATTGAACTAATGCTTAGCTCTTTCTTTCTCTCAGAAGGTGACGCATATAATTCATTGGATCAATAAGTTACCCTCGGTGAAATTTGAGATATTGAAAAGTACGTAGCGATCGATAAACGACAACTTGATCCCGAAACACTAATCTCTGTCTATTATACATGTACACGTTCCTAGTGGGAACAACCCTTACGACAATAACGTAGTAATTTTTACTTTCGAGCAGATGAATATCGTTGTCTTTCGAAAGTGGCTGGCCTACTTAACAAGAATTAATGCGGAAAAATGTTGGCAACAAAGTTGCGGCGGAGAAAAATGTTGTCATCTAAGAATAGAGCCTGGTAAGTTGAAAAGTCGATAGAAAACTTTCTCAAAGCTGTGTGTGACAAAAAGAAAAGAGAAAGAACCCCTGAGAAAATTTTTAATCTCGTATAAAAAGTTTGCTAACTGCGACAAAGCATTTCATCCGCGAGTCTGCGAGTTTATGCTTTCGAAGGGTGTGGAATATTGCAAAAAGTTATATGTGTTACATTGTGGAATGATAATTATCACTCAAGTTTTATTTGCGCAGTAGAAAATATTAATGCTATATTCAACATCAACAAATTATGCAATTTATTTTTGATTAAGCTATTTCATAGTCAACATTTTCTCTGTAATACCCACTTATGAATATCTAACTTTACGATTGCAATATTCGCCATTGAAATAAGCGGAAAAGAGTGGATACATATGTACGCATCGCTAGGTTTATCGAATACTAATTTTCACAGACGTCATCGTTCGAACGAACAGCTTGTAGGCGTGAAACTGCGCGAGCGTGAATTAAAACCAAATTCTTCGTTCAGAGCGTTGACTTTACGCAAGACAACCGAGTGGGTGCAGTTAAATAATATCGTGCGAATTGCGCGCGAATCAGTAACTGAGGGATTGTCGTAAACGTGCACATTGTAAAACAAAAAATTAAATTGAAGCATGTCAATCGATCGATCAATTCGACCGAACGTTTTAAAGTCAAGTCCACTCGAAATCTTTTAGTAAAATATAAACATATCACCACCACCAATGCAGAATAACGTTATTATATGTTCGAATGTTCAGGATTTCGTAAAAGTAAACATCCTAATGCGACGTTAATTACAGTGAATATACGTTATAGTGGGGTGGTTCTTACGTATCGTGTGATTTGAATAAGTTATAAATCCATCGTCGGGAAAGAGGACGGAAGGACAAAGATGCTTTCTGCCGCACTCGTGTAAACCATTAACACAGTGCACTCTTCGTCGTTTGATGAGAGATCATCGACCCCGTGCACACGCGAGTGCTGCAGGGTTCTCTTACGTTCTCCCCGCGCGCGCGCTTTTCTTCTTTGTCGACGTCGCGCGCCGCACACACACGCACTTTCCTATGCTCAAGAGAAGTATTAGGGGAGCGCCTTCAAGAAAAAGGATGTCGCGTGCGTGCAGTCCGTTCTTGTTGAATAGCGCGCACCCCGAGAAATGATGAGGGAAGGCGACCCACCTTTACTCTCCCTCGAGATATACAAGGGGCGCGACTGTGCGCATGCACGTGTACGCGCGAGTAAGACAAGAAATGTAATTTTTCTTTGGGAAAGCGCATTCTTTTTATGTAGGCACGTTGTACGTATATTTTTATGTTTAATCTCATGTGAATGAACGTTTTGCCTTCAGAGGATTGTCACGGATATATCTCGAAAAACGGATATTTTACTTGGATCGTAGAATGGGATGATACTAACGATGTGCTTTTAATGGGCTTATAATAACGTTGTCTTTCTAATTTTTACTGGTTTTACAGCTTTGTTTTAACGAAAATACATCAATGAATTTCATGATCTTTCGATAACACTATAATTAATCTTATCGAAAACACATGAAAGCCTTTTCTAAAATGAAATTGGAATTGATGCCTTTTCAATGTGGTTCATCATTTTCATAATAATAGCATATCGAAACTCGTCAGAATATGTAATTAACGACATTTTTTGATTTTTATGAATAGGTCAGATCAACTGAGAATCATAAACCGATGCCAAAAAGGAATGATTAAGATAATTTGTATAAAATTTACAAATGCAAGTGGTACATGATCATGTTATTTAAGAATACAAGAATAACTATTGAGAAGCAATGAACATTTCATTATAATTTTCATTATAATGAATCTGATTAAGACAAATATAATGAAATACACATTTTTTATATCAAATCCTTTCCTTTCATCGAATCACTCAAATATTTCTACAATTTATAATGATTATTAAAAGTTATATTTTTAAATTAAATGAAAATTATATCTCAAGTAATTGTTGTAACTTCTGTATTTCTTGTGTTAATTTTGTATTTGCTTCTCCTAATTCAATTTCAGGACGTTTCATGGATATCTCAAGACTTTAATAGGAAAAACAATTTGTATAAGTACATAAAAATATGTATCTGATGGTGAAACATATATCAATTTATAAATAAACTCACTTACAGTGTATCCACAGAATTTTTCATATTTGAAAGTTGAGCGGATCTATTTTTTATAATACAATCATTTAATTCTACTCTTTGTTGAAAAGTAGATAGGTATTCTAAAGCTGCCAAATAATTTTCTTCTTCTTTGTTAAGTCCATTCGTTAAATACTCATATGTATCTTTGCAAATATCAAAGCTCTGTAATATATATATTTATTATACTTTTTATTTAAGTTATGTTTGGTTAAAATAATTATCAAAATATTATGGATAATTCACATAAATATCAAAACCTTCATGAAAAGAATTATTGATGTCTACTAATTCTTGAAGGATAGATGATCTGCAATAATTGTACAAACAAATGTGTGACTATTGTTACATTATTTTTGTTGTAAAAATCAAAGAAAATATGTACAATTCTTTATCAAGCTGAGCTTTTTTCTCTTTTTGTTCATCAGTTAATTTGTCATACAACTCATCCAACTGTTCACTTTTTTTCTTTGTTTGATTGTCAAGGCGTTGACATGTATGATACAAATTTTCCAAATCTACCTTAAGTAAATTATCTTTAAAGTATATATCACGGTATACTCCAGAATGTTTTAGCTCCATACTAACCAAGCCATCTAATTTTTCCTTTTATTAGATTTGCAAAAATAAGAAATAAATAAATAAATATCATTCATACTTAACGTCTGAAACTAAAATGAATCAAATGTATCAATTATAAAAAATGTACCTTTTGTGCTGAAACACTGATAACAGATTCATCGCTGTGAACCGAATCATTGTCTTCGTTTGGCGAGCATTGCATTTTTCTATTTTATTTTGTTAATGAATTTGGAGTGATAACAAAATTACACAATCGTTTTGTCTCCAATTACAATCGAATTATAGTAAGAGGAAATAATGACACAAAGAAGTAAAGATTAAACGGTTCTAGATCTAGATAGATCTGGACGTGTTTAAAAATTACTGTTCTCAGCATATCCAACAAGTCGCTACGCTCATGCAAACAGCTAAAGGAATTTAGAAGGAAGTTAACGAAAATCGGCCGAAAAAAATTATAAAAAAACTGCGCGTGGTTAACAAAGTTAGCAAAAGTTATTTATAACTCCGCGCAATTTCATTTTCATTGATAAAAAAATTATCAAATTTAATCACTCACAGATCATCGAATACTGTATCTGCGTGAAGTTTTAATAACATTTTTAGAGAAATAAACCCGTTCAATCGTTAGCAAAAATCTCGCGCAGTTTTTCTATCCAATCAAAATATTATTATAATCATCTGTTAAAGAATAAATATTATTTCTCAGTACAGTCATATACATATGCACATAACAGATCAGTCGGTAACATAGATCTGTACACTTTTATTACTGTAAGGCACACTTTTAAATTATAAAAGCTATATTAATAGGAATGGGTTACTTTCTGAAATAACCTTCGATGTCAACTATTAATTACATAATAATAGTAATAACAGATCAGTCGGTAACATAGATCTGTACACTTTTATTACTGTAAGGCACACTTTCAAATTATAAAAGCTGTATTAATAGGAATGGGTTACTTTCTGAAATAACCGTCGATGTCAACTATTAATTACACAATAATAGTAATAACAGATCAGTCGGTAACATAGATCTGGACATTTTTATTACTGTAAGGCACACTTTCAAATTATAAAAGCTGTATTAATAGGAATGGGTTACTTTCTGAAATAACCGTCGATGTCAACTATTATTAATTAATTAATAATAATTAATTAATTAATAGTGAGAAATAATATTTATTCTTTAACGGATGATTATAATAATATTTTGATTGGATAGAAAAACTGCGCGAGATGTTTGCTAACGATTGAACGGGTTTATATTTCTAAAAATTTTATTAAAACTTTACGCAGATACAGCATTTGATGATCAGTAAGTGATCAAATTTGATAATTTTTTTATCAATGAAAATGAAATTGCGCGGAGTTATAAATAACTTTTGCTATCTTTGTTAACTTTCTTATTGATTTCTTATTAATTGGAAGCTTTCTAATTTTTTTAAAGGCTTTGAAATTCGTAATTCTACCATTAGGACAGTAAAGTAACATTATATAAGATTGATTTTTTGTCTAAATTTTTTTATTTTTACAGTTTATTACATATAATTCTATACGATCCTTATATATTAGAATGTCAATCCCGTGGTATTAACAATCCAATCGTAATACTTATGAACTCTAGTATAAACACCTGGAGTACTGTGGGAACACGAGTCACTAGAAGAAATGATTCCATACAACTTGTCGACACTGATAGCTGGACCTCCGGAATAGCCCGTACAAGCATCGATATGACCTTTAGTAGCGCAAAATACGTTGTCTGATACCAGAGTTCTTTTGAAAGCTTTTCTGCAGTTTGCCCGATTCATTACTGATACGAAAGAGTATTTCAATGGGCTCGATGGATCCGAATCATCCTGTAAATAAAAAAGTTTAAGTGTTCGTTTTAAAAACAGTTTTGATAAATATAAAATTATAGATTGAGGCTAACATCTCTAAAGCCAGTTATTATCAATATTTGTCCTTTTTTCGTAATGTCAGACGGGTTTGCGATTGATATTGGCTTCTGTATCTTTTTGATTTTCATAGGCTTTTTCAGCTGAAAAATATTGTTAGATTGTTAATTCCTTGTTTATTTAATCTTTGAACACTTATCTTGCTCAAAATACCTTGATTAGAGCGATATCATTGTCGTTGGTTATGTTGTTATAATTAGGATGTCTAATCGCTTTTTCTACTTTGTGTCTTGTTCCATCAATAGATTTGTATTTGCTACCTGTTCGTACCACGATTTTTTTTTCATTTCTGTTGTACAAATATAATGGAATATAAATAGAAATTAGTTATAGCATGGTGAGTTTCAAGGGTAAGTTTAGCTTACTTGATGCAACGAGCTCTAGTCAATACCCACGATTGGTCGATGATAGTTGCACCACACTTATTTACCCCATTAAACCAGATATCAGCCTGAAATTGCAAACCACATTACATTATTTAATTATAAGTATATTAAAAAATAAACGTTGTTAGTTCATGTAGAATCTTTCTTAAATAGACACGAACGTGGAATGGCATATTTTCTAGTTTCGCTAAAGCACCTTTGGGATACTTCTCTTTCTTACTTGCACCTATGTACAAAATTTTGAAATGTAAAAATACTATAAAATTCGTTTAATTCAATCAAACTTACCAACATTGCAATAATTCGTGCCAACGGCGATGCACAGTACAATATACGCTGCCTTCATTTTTGTGTGGTTGTGATGCACGTCACTAACTCAATTTTAATGGACTCATTCTTTAGCTTATATAGTTCGTCTTTTATCTTCCACATAATTAATAACGGGCTCATGAGGTTACTTTGTGACATTCGAATAAGATAAGTACAAATGTGTTTAATTTTCTTAGAAGTGTCGTTACATTATCATATACACTGTTTTTGATGAAATTACGAAATATGGAACAACTATTGACATTTACAGAGACAGAGAGGGAGACGGAGAGAGAGAGTGAGAGATTGATTGATTGACTTTTATTAACTTAGGTAAAATTAGCCACCAATTAATGCATACATGCATGTGCAACAAATTCACAATAACAAATAAACTAACGTAAGTATAAATAAGCCGTTATTTGCACATTGTCAAGTAACAAAAGTGAACTATAAAGATCTATCACAGTTAGTTGAGAGAGAGAGAGAGAGAGAGAGAGAGAATGGAGTTAGCCTGATTAGTTGAGTTGAGTTAGTCTTTTTTTACCATGGATAATATAGTAATCATAAATTCCTTAGATACGCATATAAGCTGCATAATTAAAAAATAAAATAGAGCAAAACTTTATAGCATCAGATGTACATTAGAAAGTGGAATTCCAAGGTATAAAAAGAAACGCAAGCATTCTGTCGCTCAGAAATTAGATTTTACAAAAGTACATGTTTAAAAATTAATGAACAATAAATTAACAACAATCGCAATTGAAGTAAGTAACAGCTACAAACGTATACTTCACTTCAATAAAATAATGTAAAACGCAGTCATAGGAGAAGTCATTAAAGGCAGGTAGTAATAATTAGAGTGAAAACTCTAGTTGTTTCCCGAAGACCGTCTCATCACCATACGCGAGGTATTACCTTTGTTTTCTTGAGGTTGAGATCAAGTCCATTTTACTTCGCCTAATCCATAACAGCCTGTGTACTTCACTGGATTTTCGTAATATCAAGCTCAATGTCGGAAGGCTTACAATGTAGGTAGATCTGGATATCATCAGCGGTGATCATGTGCATAGCAAACAACAAAACCCTAGGTCAGTTATTAATCAAGAGATCGGGAGAGAGAGAGGGGGAGGGGAAGAGGGTGTGAACTTTATAAGGCATGTTACAAGTAGCAAAATAAAATGTACGCATCGTAATTGCTCCAATAAAAAACTTTATTTGAAAACAGTTGTAGGTCTAGTTATCTGCAGCCTACTAGCATGTGTTTTACTGAAAAGTGTACGTGCTTAAATGCACGCTTAAAATGAAATTTTCTTGCTCAGCGGTTGCCAAGGAGGGCTCCGCCCAACCGAAAAACCATTTCATTAGTTCAATTCGCTCGCATTTTCACAGTTACAGACGAATTAAATTGAAGAAAATTTGAAAATACTCTTGTTAGCGTAAACTTTCTATTAGCCTTTTCCAAAAATCGATGAGTACTTTTTTTTGATAGTAAAAAATAATGTCGGAAGTTATAAAATGAGTAATTTGAATCATCGAAAGTCTGTTACAAATTTTCGAGAATTGAACTTTTTCCAATATTACGTTATTTGTCAACGTCTCAAAAATGCGTGTATACAATTTTAAGCCTTAATATTGATTAGAAGTAATAATAGAAGTAATTTAGTGGAACAGCTTCACGCCGAGGCATCGATATTTCAGCACATTTTTGATGAAAATGAAATTGCGCGGAGTTATAAATAACTTTTGTTATAGTTGTTAACCACGCGTAGTTTTTCTATAATTTTTTTTCGGTCGATTTTCGTTAACATCCTGCTGAGTTCCTTTAGCCCATGCAAACATATTCTTGAACAAAATAAAGTTGGTGGGGAGGATTTCAGAGAAATCGGCGAACAGACAGGTACGAGTACTGTTTCTTCAGTTCTGTACAGTTTTTACTATATTTGTCACTTATTCAATCAATTTGTATTTCATACATGGCATTTATCAACAATCGTTATTTAGAAAAATCGACAAACGATTTCTGTGCACTTTAGATCACGAGGAACGAAATCTGATGAGAACTGCAAGTGTTACAAACGAATCGTACCGGAGATAAACAACGCTCATATGTATGAGTATAATTATTTGTGATTCGAGTGAAATGCGTTTATTATTAATACAAACATAATACATAAAAATTTCCCATAGCCGCTTACGAATTTAAGGAATTTTGTGTGTTACTTCAAATTTATTACAAAAAAGAGGCTATATTTATTCATCTTTGTGCACTATACACAAACATTAGATGTTTTTTTACAATTTTCTTTACCTTATTCTAATGAAATAAAACGAGTAGGTTAATCATAATTAAGGTCACCATAAATAACTAGTAATTTTACTCTGTTAATGAAATGAATCACCTAAAAGTTTGACATTAAATATTTAAATTTAATTTTTGTACTGTAGTTATTGAAAATGTAGTGTATTCCAGACAATTAAGTCTTCCAGCTTTTTTAAAAGTATTTTAATTTTATTATTCGTTTCAAAATGGTAAATTGTTAGCTTGTATTAAAACAGTTACATTGTAACATAATATTTGTTTAAATAGAATATTTAGCCTATGATTAAAAATAAGTAACAGCATTATTATTTACAAAAATAGAAAATGCAAATTAAAATATTTTTAATTTAAAAATTATCCCTACAAGTTTATGTGCGTAATTTTAAGAAGATTTTGAAAATGATCACATCAAATTTTCAGTAATATATAGATGAAATTTTGTATAGAAAATGAATTAATATATAGAAAAATTAGAGAGTGGAATAGAAGGAACTTATAATAAAGAAACAGAATTTATAGATTCTGACAATATATAAATCAGTAATAATTATGTCAACAACGGAGTACTACTGGAAGAAAAAAATCAATTACTGAAATAATCTTTAATTAATTAAAATTTATTCGGAAATTACTAAAAATATGCATTGCTAGATATTCTTTTGAATATTTAGAGAATAGGAGATGTGAACTATCATTTCATTTGATAATACATAAAGATTATAGAAATGAAATCTTGATTTATATTCATTAAATTTATCCCCAATTTCTAATGAACATTTTAGATGGTAGAGATAATTGTTAAGCAGTTTTTAGGTATTGTACAATTTTTTTTGAATCTAGGAAAAAAACCATATGCCTCCATATTGATACACTATTATGAGAAGAAGAGATATTGAATTTGTCTACTGATCACGGTAAATTTTATTCTTCAGTACTTTGTATCTTTATAATCTGATGCATTATTATGATTGTAAAATGTTCTAGGTCATCATCAAAATTAGTTATATCTTCATATATTTCAAAGCCTTTTTGCATATCGTACAATATAGTCCTTAGTCAAGCTAATGAAGCAATTGAAAGTATTACTGATTCAAATAAAAAGTCTCATTGAAAAAGTGGCTTTGAATGTAATTTAATCACGATTCTTTTTTAAGTAAACTATCCTTTTTAAACATATCAATAATGTCAATGCAAAATCACGTTATTTTATGTTTGTATGTTTATAGTTTCATATAAGTACTGATATAGTACATTTAAATATTGATACAATTTATTGCAGTCATTAAAATACTACTTGGTATTCTACGTAATTGTGTGATTTCTGTCATAAAACTTTGAATATTGTAAAAGTACCAGCAGTTGATGCTCCAGTAAAACCAATTTATTAATCAAAATAAGTAATTTCACTTAAGTTTTCTGAAGTATTGTAATAAAACTATTTGTTGAAGTCAAATATTCAAAAAGTATGTTGTATTATTATTATTATTATTATTATTATTATTATTATTATTATTATTATTGAATTTAAATGATTCTTAATAATATAAATAATATATAAAGATGTATAAGCTTCTTTTACAGATTCTATGCAATGGTTCATACTCAATCATAGTGCTAATAGTTAATTCTTTACTAAGGATTTAGTACTAGATGCCTTGGAAGCAGCATTACCATTACAACCATCAACAAAAGGAATAATATCGTCTCAAGTGTATACGGGACAACCCTTTCTCTCACTCACTCACACACTCTTTCATTCTCTCTCTCTCTCTCTCTCTCCCTCTCTCTCTCTTACTCTTTCTCTCCCTCTCTCTTTCCCTTTCTCTTTCTTTTTCTCTCAAGTAAGAAACTACGTTTGCATCCCTTGTTAACTGGGGAAGTACAGAGCACATGTTTTTGAGTTATTCCTTCGGTTTTAATGCGACTCGTCGACGACGACGGCAACGACGACGGCGACGTAGCTGGTTTTTTCTTTTGTAGTTTCCGCGCCGTTGTTAGAAAAACAAAGAGATACAAGACAGTGCATATATATTTAAGTATATACTCTCGCAGAAAGTGCGAAGAAATGTCTCAAGGCGTACCGGGTACTATCGTTACCTATATTACTTATTTTTCAATTGATCACTTTGTGGTACAGTCGTAAAGAAAATTTTCCCTCATTGAAAAACAAAACAAATTTTGCATTTTTCTGCTGGAAATTAAATGAATGTTGAAATTCCGGATAAATGTGCAAAGCAAATTATAATAAAAAAAAACGCTTACAAAAATGTATAACCTACTTCTCGTAATTATGCTAGTTGGGTTTTTTTCATTGTTGCGCGCGTCTTGAAACGTAATAATTTTCCATACCACGCGCACATGTATGTACGCCCTTTTTTCTTTCTTTGGTCATGCATTATTCATCGTTGAGCACGCGCGCGCTTCATTCGATATAATTGATGACATGCATGGGAAATCGATCATTAATATATCTATCTACTCAAAGTATATGACACTGTTGTATCGGATGTCATTTCTAAATAATGCTCGTGTAACGGATCAAGCAGTGTATAATTATATCGAACGATATTGTGAGTAAAAGAAATAAAATAAAGACACCCTGAACTTGTTCATTTCTTTGTCTGTACGAGAAAAGAAATCGTGTCTGGAATCGATAGTTCATCTATAAATGATATCTTCAATGTTCTTCAGTAGTGTAACGACGAACGAGTGTGCTATACGAGTACATAGGACATTGCTTGCAATTCACTATCAATATCAGAATGTACAGACGCTGTCATTATAAACCAAACAGGAAAAAAAGATAGAACCTTCATTTTACTTTCTTCTGTCAATTGCACAATAACGGCATGTTGTTTCCGCGTTTCCTGTTCACGTTATAAGATTCTAAAATTGCTTGTATGTATTAAAGTAATCAGAGATTTATTACTCGCAATTATCTATTCGCTTCGTTGAGATTTCAAAGTGTGTGCGTTGTTGTGCAAGTTAAAAATAAATGAAATGTATCTCGCGGCTGATTTATCGCTTTCGTAAACCAAAATGTTCTTATCTATCAACTTTAGGTCAAATATACCTCTAACATTTTGTCTTTTTGGGAAGTTACTTAATTCATGGGACTTTCATAAGTACACCTTCTGCTATTGGTTGATGAAATGTGATCCACTTTCTAGAGGGAGAAAAGAAACTTTTCCATTTTCACATGCACACGCGATTTACGACTTTTTTTTATGTTTCTTCGCGTGAAGAATATATTACAGTAATATTTCATTTTAATATTTCTCAAAAATCTAATTTTCTTTTCCAACTGATAAATCAATTATTTTTATTTTTATTTGACAACTTCTTCTTTCTTCGATGTTACATTTATTCGTTGGTTCGTATTGACAAGGGGCTGCTACTGTGGTCTATAAGTCCATTTGTATATTCGATAACCGAAGAACGAAAGGTTTTCCTCTATGAATGAATATTTTTTGTACATACAGAGTCATGCGGGAAATCCGAAGTGGCGCAATGTCTGGTATTCCAAACATGAACGTATTTCGGTTGTATGTGGAATAGAATATAGGTATTTGTCAATTACTTTTCTTTTGTCCTGCAAGTGAGTCCGTGAATCCAGTAATGTTGATAATACAACCGTAATACCTATAAATCCGTGTACTCCTCCCCCTACACTCAAAATACGATATCGAATATGATATATATTTAATAACTTAACTAATATAGACACAATTCACGCAACGCCGCTTCACATTTTAAGCAAATGCATAATTTACATTTTATCACAAACAATGCTCAAATCTACGACGTTTGTATGAGATAAAAATAAGTTTTGTTTGCAAATTGATTATGTAATTTCTTACATTTCAACCAGTGTGATGTGGGACATAGGTATAGACCTATAGTACCTAGTGTTTATGAGTAATCTCGTAGTTAGGCTAGTTTTCAATTTAAAGGATGAACAGAGCTCACGTACTTTTTGCCAACGTATATTTAGCAGGTTTGGCTCTGGACTTCGAGAAAAGTCATAAAAAAGGAAAAAGTGTCGGAGTGAGAGTTGAACTGAGAGCAAGACCGTTAGCGACAAGGGCAATTAGCGACAGTTTTCTGGTAGTCTGCATATGCGTGCAGAAACTGCACGTGCATGCTTACCTGCTTCCTATCTAGCTTTATGATTTCAATATATTGAATTTCAAAACGCTTCCTTAATTATTCCTTCATCAAAGACACGCCAATATGTCACCGATTCGAGACTGATGTCAATGCAAAAGTAACGAGATTGTGGTTATGTAAATATTTTACAATCTATAGAAGTCTATCGATAAGTTGTAAAAAAATTAAATTTCTAGTATATATTCATTATATCTTTTTGTTGATAAATTTCTTATTAACTGGCAGATTTCTAATTTTTTTTTGGAAAAGGCTTTGAAATTCCTTATTCTACCATTAGGACAGTAAAGTAACATTCTATAAGATTGATTTTTTGTCTACATTTTCTATTTTACAGTTTATTACATATAATTCTATACAATCCTTATATATTAGAATGTCAATCCCGTGGTATTAACAATCCAATTGTAATACTTATGAACTCTAGTATAAACACCTGGAGTACCGTGGGAACCACACGAGTCACTAGAAGAGATGATTCCGTACAACTTGCCGTTAATGATAGCTGGACCTCCGGAATCGCCTTTACAAGCATTGATATGACCATTAGTAGCGCAAAATACGTTGTCTGGTACCGGAGTTCTTTGGTAAGCTTTTGTGCAGTTTTCCTGATGCATTACTGATACGTAAGCGAATTTCAACGGGCTCGGTGGACACCAATTATGCTGTAAATAAAAAAATTTAAGTGTTCGTTTTAAAAACAGTTTTGATAAATATAAAATTATAGATTGAGGCTAACATCTCTAAAGCCAGTTATTAACATTCTTTGGCCTTCTTTCGGAATGTCAGACGGTTTTGCGATTGGTATTGGCTTCTGATGATGATTGATTTCAATAGGCTTTTTCAACTGAAAATATTTTTAGATTGTTAATTCCTTGTTTATCTAATCTTTGAACATTTATCTTGCTCAAAATACCTTGATTAGAGCGATATCATTGTCGTTGGTTATGTTGTTATAATTAGGATGTATAATCACTTTTTCTACTTTGCGTTTTGTTCCATCAATAGTTTTGTATTTGCTACCTGTTCGTACCACGATTTTTTTTTCATTTCTGTTGTACAAATATAATGGAATATAAATAAAAATTAGTTATAGCAGGGTGAGTTTCAAGGGTAAGTTTAGCTTACTTGATGCAACGAGCTCTAGTCAATACCCACGATTGGTCGATGATAGTTGCACCACACTTATTTACCGAATTGTACCAGATGTTAGCCTGAAATTGCAAATCACATTACATTATTTAATTATAAGTATATTAAAAAATAAATGTTGTTAGTTCATGTAGAATTTTTCTTAAATAGACACGAACCTGATATGGCACATCTTTTAGATCCGCTAAACCACCTTCGACAGTCTTCACTTTCTTACTTGCATCTATGTATAAAATTTTGAATTGTAAAAATACTATAACATTCGTTTAATTCAATCAAACTTACCAACATTGCAATAATTCGTGCCAACGGCGATGCCCAGTACAATATACGCTGCCTTCATTTTTGTGTGGTTGTGATGCACGTCACTAACTCAATTTTAATGGACTCATCCTCTGGCTTATATAGTTCGGCTTTTATCTTCCACATAATCAATAACGTGCTCATGAGGTTACTTTGTGACATTTGAATAAGATAAGTACAAATGTGTTTGATTTTCTTAGAAGTGTCGTTACATTATCATATACACTGTTTTTGATGAAATTACGAAATATGGAACAACTATTGACATTTGCAGAGACAGAGAGGGAGACGGAGTGGGAGAGTGAGAGATTGATTGATTGACTTTTATTAACTTAGGTAAAATTCGCCACCAATTAATGCATACATGCATGTGCATCAAATTCACAATAACAAATAAACTAACGTAAGTATAAATAAGCTGTTATTTGCACATTATCAAGTAAGAAAAGTGAACTATAAAGATCTATCACAGTTAGTTGAGAGAGAGAGAGAGAGAATTGAATTAGCTTGATTAGTAGAGTTGAGTTAGTCTTTTTTTACTATGGATAATATAGTAATCATAAATTCCTTAGATACGCATATGAGCTGCATAATTAAAAAATAAAATAGAGCAAAACTTTATAGCATCAGATGCACATTAGAAAGAGGAATTCGAAGGTATAAAAAGAAACGCAAGCATTCTGTCGCTCAGAAATTAGATTTTACAAAAGTACATGTTTAAAAATTAATGAACAATAAATTAACAACAATCGCAATTGAAGTAAGTAACAGCTACAAACGTATACTTCACTTCAATAAAATAATGTAAAACGCAGTCATAGGAGAAGAAGTCATTATAGGCAGGTAGTAATAATTAGAGTGAAAACTCTAGTTGTTTCCCGAAGACCGTCTCATCACCATACGCGAGGTATTACCTTTGTTTTCTTGAGGTTGAGATCAAGTCCATTTTACTTCGCCTAATCCATAACAGCCTGTGTACTTCACTGGATTTTCGTAATATCAAGCTCAATGTCGGAAGGCTTACAATGCAGGTAGATCTGGATATCATCAGCGGTGATCATGTGCATAGCAAACTACAAAACCCTAGGTAAGTTATTAATCAAGAGACCGGGAGAGAGAGGGGGAGGGGAAGAGAGTGTGAACTTTATAAGACATGTTACAAGTAGCAAAATAAAATGTACGCATCGTAATTGCTCCAATAAAAAACTTTATTTGAAAACAGTTGTAGGTCTAGTTATCTGCAGCCTACTAGCATGTGTGTTTTACCGAAAAGTGTACGTGCTTAAATGCACGCTTAAAATGAAATTCTCTTGCTCAGCGGTTGTCAAGGAGGGCTCCGCCCAACCGAAAAACCATTTTATTTGTTCAATTCGCTCGTATTTTCACAGTTATAGATGAATTAAAGTGAAGAAAATTTGAAAATACTCTTGTTAGCGTAAACTTTCTATTAGCCTTTTCCAAAAATCGATGAGTACTTTTTTTTGATAGTAAAAAATAATGTCGAAAGTTATAAAATGAGTAATTTGAATCATCGAAAGTCTGTTACAAATTTTCGAGAATTGAACTTTTTCCAATATTACGTTATTTGTCAACGTCTCAAAAATGCGTGTATACAATTTTAAGCCTTAATATTGATTAGAAGTAATAATAGAAGTAATTTAGTGGAACAGCTTCACGCCGAGGCATCGATATTTCAGCACATTTTTGTTCATAGCATTCGTGAAAGCACCGTTACATATATTTTTAAATACATTCTTCGCTTCAGAACTAAACAAACTTTATTTTGTCAAAGTTTGACGATTTTCTAAAGAAGCGTTCCATATTTTTTTTCTAAAACACAATCGAAAAATTGGCTTGTTATGGAAAAGTGCATAGGGAACGAAGTTTTATAATCTTCTAACTCAAATAAACATAGAAGTGAGAGAGGGAGAGAGAGAGAGAGAGAGAGAGAGAACATTTAGAGCAAGAGAACGTCTTTAATTGATACCGTATATAAAGTAATATCCTTCATCCTCTTGAACGTATTATGTCGTTGATTTATTTAATTTTGCCTTTCTGTGTAGTAAACAGTAAATGCAGATTCTACTTATGTGCCCAGTGACGTCGTATTCGGAAGATTTGAGTTCAGGTTTGTCAATGATACGATCTTTTCCAGCACGGAGTTAAATAGTTGAATAAAGTTTAGTAACGGAATCTAAATTTTTTGATACAATATACTATATTATAATTCAATATAGTAGAGGTATTGTCAAACCAACTATTTTACATAGTTAACGAAATACAGTAAACTATGTTACATGTACTATATGTTATTCACAATAATATTGTACTTAGTAACCGAAAATATCTTACTTACAGTTTACCGAATATTACAATTTACCAATATAAAAATAAGATTCATAATATTCATCTATTATGTTTAACTTTATTATATTTTTTTAATTTTTAAAGCGAGTTTTCAATTTTGAAAATCTTTACATATGTCCGAGACAAACTGTCTAAAAGTGGTAAAATAGTGGTAAAATGAAAAAAACTTTTTCGATTATCCAATCTCATACAAAATATTAAGAAGGTTAATGAGTTGATAATATTTTTACAGATAACGCAGGCGAATATAAAAGTTTGAAATATGTACAGATAAATCACGGAAACTACGAAAAAAATATTGTGTTAATATTGAATAATTCAGAAATACTTACATTCAGAGAAAACTATTGAAAAAAAATTTTAAGCGAAATCAAAACGAATTCATTTTCATTTGTCAGGTCTACGATATTATTTGTTTTCTGAACGATTTCAATTGAATGAAGGAAACGAAAATTTCTAAAGCATGGCTTGTTAATGAATTCATTCATTTAGAACCATATTATATATGTAAAATTCATAAATGAAAAAGTTACATTATTTTATGTTTAAATGTATAATGATTTAAAACTACATACTATTTAAAATGAAAAGATTTATGACTGAATAATAAATATTGTAACATTATTTACCATAACGTCATCAAATACATATATTCACTGTATTTTACATTTTACATTTTATTGTATGGCAATATTGCGTCATGTGGGAAAATTAGTAATCAAACGAACTTATCTGTATATGAAATTCGATGGTAATTATGTCAGTTATCTCGTCCGAAGATATTAAATTGTAGTTGTTTAGAGAATACAAAGATTACAATATGCGATTTGTTTTTTTTTTTATTCAACTGTATTGAAAACAATTCTTGATGCAAAAGTAGCATTTACAATAGGCCGGTTATATTGTTTCGTAAATTCATTGGAATTTTGAATCCAAGCTGCTATTCAGCGAATAATTTCAATGTTTAATCCTTTATAACAAGTGATAGAAGTCGTCGCATGGTGAGTGCAATATGTCCAGTAAAATATGAATTGTCAATTTTGCTTTTACGTAATACATCTTTTATCCAATGACTAATAGTTTCTAGTCCATCAGAATATCTAGCTTTTTAAATGAGATAAAGAGGAAATACTTGCTATTTCGTAGAATTTCTATTATATTTAAACAATGTTCCAAAATCGTTAATGCGTAGTCTTGCTATCTCATGAAATCGAAGTGTTTTTAAAGCGAGTTAATGTATTGGATTTTTCCTCGATGTTTTTAATTCGATCCCTGATAAAAATTAATGCTAAATCCCGACTTGAAAATTTAATATTATTTAATCTGATTTTGGATAGGGTTTGTACCCGTTGAACAGTAATTAGTGCGAAAGTAGAGACTAACTTTTTCGTTAGATTTTCCAAATCGAATTTCTCAAGAGGGTGTAGAATTTCTAAGTGAGATAAAACCGGGTCAGTATACCATATAAACTCGTATTATGATATGAGTGAAAACACTGATCGATACGAGTTCAGTGTACTATATGATTTGGTTATTCTTAAGTATAAAAATTCTAAGATATCAGTTTTTCGTTACGTTTAATAAATCTATCGATTTCTCGTCACAGTAATTCCATCATAATTTTAAAGGTTTAATGCTCTGTAATAGTGTTGCCGGTGCCGCTAATGAAAGTATGACGTTTATTAGAACTTTGGAGTATATTTTTACTTCGTATGCAGTCCTGATAAGGTTCCGACAACCAGGGGAAGATTTTCCCATAGCGGGTGATAGTCCTTCGAAGGTGAACTTAGTAAGTCAGTCTATGGCTTCAAAATAATCGGTTCCGATATTAGTCATTCTTGAAACAGTAGAAACCATTCTAATCAAGAACTACTATAATTCCTTCAGCTTTATCAGGCATAGTTTGCATAATAGAATAAGTGCAAACGGTGGAAAAATATAGATGACCGAGTTCGTCCAGCACATAGTAAGTGGATTCACTGCTTATGCTTTGGGGTTGGGATATCAAGAGGTTTGACAAAACATTATATTCCGTAATAGCTAGCTTACAATTCAATTGATATATTTATTTTTATCATTGTTATGCCACCATTCATACGTACTAGAAGATGAATAACATGTTCCTTAACTTATCAACGAGGCATGGGTAAATATTTGAAGTGTATAATTTGGTTCCGAATCCTACATTCCTATATAAAAAAGGAGATGGACTGGAAGGTGTCGCGTTTTATACGTGATGTGATTATTAGCTCAGAAATGGTCACATGGTGTGACGTATCATGTCCTTGCATATGACTATTAATGTCGCTGATTTGATTAGGCGCGCGAAATAAGTCCTTTTGAAAAAATAAGATGTTACGTTTCAAGATCATGCTAATTATTCATTATTACTAACCAATAATTTGATTTTATCGTCTGTAAAAATGTCAAAATTATTTTCGATATAATAATATTAATAAACAATAATATAGAATAATCATCCTGGATAATTGTAGTTAAAAAGATCGTTGAAGTTTTCAATGTGATAAATTGTGAAATTCAAATATATAAATTATAATAAATGTTTTTTAAATAAACTAACTTTTCGATTGCAAACTGTAACTGACTAGTGACGTAAATATATGTATTAACATTAAGCAAAATATCAAGTAATTGGTCAAATAATTATTTTGTACGATAATGATAAATTTATTTGAATTTTCAACTTTAAAATCTTAGCAAACAATCAATTTTAAGTAGGTTTATTCATTGTTTCTTAAACATAACAGGTCATTTAAAGTTCGCTGTTTATAATATTAAGTTATGAATAAAATTACGCATTAATAAATATCTTAGGAAGTAATATTATTTGACAATTTTTTTTATATTTATATATTTATATATTAGAAAACATGAAATAATTTTCTTACTTTTAAGTTCACAGTTGTAAAATTTTTAAATTATATAATCATATATGTATTTCATCGTGTATAGGAGTATTTAAGTTCGTTTGCAAAACTGATGGTTTATGAGCAGCCTGTAAGTAGACATAAAAAAATGGTGGCATGAGTGCTCGAAGGGCGCTAGATGTGTCTAGTAGCAATTTCACGTAGCAGTTTTCTTTTCCATCAAATAAAATCTTCAAAAACGTTGTTTGATAAAGGGAGTTTGTCTTTATAATTATCACCATTTTTGCAAAGCTAGAAATTTGCATCTTTCAAAATATTTTGTATATAATGAAGCGTACTTAATGACTGGACAAGCTGTTTCTAATATTCCGACAAATTTACGCAATTCAAGAATTTTAATAGTTTATTTATTTTTATAATATTTGATGAGTTTTAAGATCTTACATTTTTCTTCGTTTGTTAATTGGATATTGGATTGTATTCAAAACCTAGGTATTTGCAAATACGCGTAGACTTCAATCAAAATTTTATCGTTAACAATAAAGTTCAAATTTTCAAGTATATATTTGACTAATTCAATTTGTTCAGTGTATTGTAACATTTACTAAATGCTAACTTATAGTAAAAGAAATGGACATGTTAAATGTTAGGAAAGTACAGCTCACGAGATCGTTTATTTACAAATTTACAATAAAATCAAAATTAAAATACGAACGCATATATACCCTCGCGATAATGAGACAACGTATTACCTAACATAATAACCTTCTTAATCATAACGGGATAATAAAGGGGCAATCAAAGATCTCACGCGTGCGCTCAGATGATCAACTTGCAGAGGATCGCTCGCAACCGTCTCGTTGCTCCGGGATTCGCCATACTCCGTCTCCCCTTAGAGTGCTACTCCGATGCTCAATCCACTGTCGTACGGTACAGTCCGAGATCCGACAACGACGTGGGTAGCGAGCTGTCGCGATGACCGGCGACAGCGGCGGGAATCCAAGAGAAATCCGTATTTTCAGTTATCCTTTGGTCAACGGTCGCCAGACGAGTGCCTCAGCATTCGATAGTCAAAAGTATCGATAGTGGGGACGCAAACGGTTCAATTCATATTTGACCGTTACAATCTCTCCTTCTTGCATGAGGAAGAACGAAACACTCCGAGAGCAAGCCCGAGCGCAAGCACGTAGCATCCGACTATATTCTCAAAAAATAACCGCCGCCCACCAAACGCGAGATCACACAGCCATCGTAAGCACAATCAGCTTTATTCGTTTAACGCACATAGGATTTCATTTCATCCATATCGCATTTTTGTGTCACAATCAAGCCGCTCCCTACGCACAATACAAAAGCCATCATCAAACAAAACACCGCAAAAACCCTGACCATTTCTTGTGTCGGTTAACATTGCGTGTAATTTAATTAACTAAGTTCTTGATTCCTTTCTCTACTCTTGATCAATATCAAACGTACTTAAACTTAAACGCATTAAGGGCCCTAAACTAAACGCAAATATATACAGGACGGTCGACTACATACACTCTCACTCATTACATACTTTTGCCTTATTTATTTATACACTGTCTTATTTATACATCTATACATTTTTACAAGCCGCTGAGCATCGGAATTGTCAAGATAAGGTGATCCCTTTGGAACGTATCCAGGAGCCACCTATCATACTAATAATTACAATCATATTTGATTGAGTCAAAACGTGTCGGATATTCAAGGTTCAGGCTCAAGATATTTACGGAGGTTCAGATGATTATACGTCCCAATGTGTCTATCGGTATCATTTAGACTGCTAAGCCTGAATGCATTCTGACCAATTCTCTCGGTAATAATGTACGGACCATCGTACAAATCAAAAAACTTTTGTGTCACTCTATCGAGAGCATTCGATAAATGTCTAACTCGCAATAAAACCTTATCGCCCAGGTCGAGCACCACTGTGGATGGTTTTTTGCCCTTTTTCCTTCTCTCAAAACTACTCCTCAAATTCTCGCGTGCTATTCGCAGCATAACGGGACGATCAATTAATACTCTATCAGGAAACAAAACCAGCCTTTCGATCTCATCCCTTACAGGAACTGCGGAATGCAACTCTTGGGGGGTAAACTTCGTACTGAAATGCGTTGTGATGTTAAGGAGAGTTTGAATTCGTTTCGCGTGGTTAGCCTATCCGGTATGTCTCGCGCGACAATAAGTTCGGAACAACCGATCGATCTCACGCATCGCTCTTTCCGTGGGATTGCTTTGGGGGTGCCTTACAGAACTATATAAGACTTAGTTGTCCTCCGGTCAACGGTCGCCAGACGAGTGCCTCAGCAGCGAGCCGTCTCCATCATCAAAAGTCTCGAGTCAAAAGTATCGATAGTGAGGACGCAAACGATTCAATTAATATTTGACCGTTACAGTATGCTGCTTTTGACTTGTCTGAAAGTAAAATATCATCGAGATAAAAAAAATTACTAAATCCACTTGATAATAACTATTCTGTAATGGGTTTTAGTAATTTTATGAAAACATAAGGCGCTGAATACAACTCAAAGGGCAAGTAAAGAAACTCATGTAGTTTTCCTAGGAACGAAAATATATATGTTTTCTATATTTTGTGTGAATGGGTATGAGAAAAAAGACATTTTGGGAATCTACTGTTGCTAAATAATCTTTCTCAGTTAATCTTTTTTAGAGTTGTTCTATCTTCCAATTTGAAGTATTCATCGATTACATAATCGCTTAATTTTTTAAGGTTAAATATAAATGTTTAGTCACCATTTGATTTTTCTTTTAAAAAGTACGATGAAATAAATTGGTCTTTGCAAGCAAGACATTCAGTTACGGTTTTTTATCGATTAACTCAGCAATAGCTTTTTCGTAAAATGAATTTTCTTTCATGGAAAATGTTGGTTCACGAGGGAAGTATTTTTGACTGATTTTACGTTTAAATGGAATTTTATATCCTTTAATGTAATTGAGAATGAATTCATCTAAAGAAAATTTTTCGGATTATGAAGGAATACTTTTAATTGATCTGCAGGTTTACTCACATTTATCCGTATCGGAAACGTTACTAGATCCTAAAAGAACGTTTCTTCGTTACCTTCACCCGAGGCACCGATTTCGAATTTTTCTCAAGACGGTTTTCGAGTTCAAATTGCTCGTATCTTGATTTGAGTCTTTGTCATCATGTGCACCCTTTTGCCTTTTTTTGCAATTTCTTTTCTTTTCTTTTCCATTGAAGCAGCGTTCCTATAATCGTCTATAACATTTTCTCAAAAAGCATGTAATCAATTTTACTATCAGTAGTGACTACTTCAGCTGCAAAATTAAGGCTGGATAAAATGAATGAACGCCTTGTAATCTATATGTAATACTGACAGTCAGTAAATATACGTTCAGCATTATTTAAACATATAATGACTTCCTGTATTTGAACGTCGTCACTGTTTTTATTGAGAAGAGTAGTTAATACTGAGCCAACGGCACATGTGTATGCAATCTTTCTTGACTGAATATTTAGATATAATTGGTTTGGCCTCTGGGTTGGGTTGACTGAAGAAATTTTCAACGCGCTACAGTTAGCTGGAGTAGGATTCTTATTGAGCATCTCAAACCCCAGTTTTGAGCTTAGCCTGGGGAAATTTCGGTTATGATGTGACGTACCTCGCTGGGCACACTCGCCATAATCGTTTTGTGTATTATTAGGTGAAGCATCAATTGAGTTTTAAGCTTTATGTGGTTGGTGTTTCATGCGACTGAGTATGATACTGACCATCATCACCGTTGAACCGCGATGTCTGTGTGCACGATCGTAGTTGTGTGGTCGTGATTTTGTGAATCTACATCGTGATTGTGGCTCCGGCGGTAAGATGTTGATCGTGAACGACATTAACGTGAAGAACGGGAGTGAGATCATGAAAGACGGCCGTGTTATCGTCTGAGTAGTTTTTGTACCAAATTTTCGAGTCTCCGCTCCAGGTAGCGGCCGCGATGATGATGTGTTTGCGATCGAGATCACGATCTATTTGACATTGCGAATGATAGATCGTCAAATTTGTTGTAACCAAATATTAACATGTGACTCTGATCACATCAAAAAACGTAATAAAGATTATAGGTTAACAAATGAGTAAACGTTACGTTGGCGTAACTACTATTTGTCTCAAGGGCGAGGTAACGTAACATAATTAAAATGGTGTAACGTTTGTCGTATTCTAGATAATAACGTATGTTGTAATAAAAACTTTTAATAACAATTAAATGAAATACTTTGCGTGTACCTTTTGACTAAATATTTCAACTCTTTATTAATAACTTTGTTTATCTTTATGTCCGCGCTGGACTAAGTCTCGTTAATCTCTGTGCAGCTTATTTGTTTTATCGAAAATAGCTAAAGCGGCGGATGTTATTAGCAACGCGACAAATGCAAACGTAGCATAAGATAAATGATAAATCGAATATAGCGAATAAGTTAATAAAGTAAAGATATTATAACACGAATTTCAGTTGTATATGGAATAGATTTCCGGTATTGATCAGTATTTTTTTTTGTTTTGTGAGTCCAGTAATATTGACAATCCAACCATATAGTACTGACGATACTACTAATAATCCTTGGATAAATATATCGAAAATTCGCACATTACATAGTAACTGAATTGCCTTGAACAACGTTTGAACATCCCTTAAACTCTTTTTCGAGCTGAACATCATTTTCTAACAACTGCCATTATAAATACAATATAAAATGTTATATACTTAATATCTTACCATAATCGGCACAACTCGCACAACATTGCTTCGTTAGTTTCTAAAATAAAAGTAAGTTTTGTTTGCAAATTGACTACGTAGTTTCTTACATTTCAACCAATATGTGGTGGGAAATACATAGGGCCATAGTATCAAGTGTTTACGAGTTTTCGCGTAGTCAGAATAGTTCTTCGTTTAAAGAATGAACATAGCGAATCTACTTTTTTTCAACATATATTTAGCAGGTTTGGGCCTGAACTTCGAGAAAAACTAAAAAAGGAAAAAGTGTCGGCGTGAGAGTTGAACCGAGACCGAGACCGTTAGAGACAAGGGCAATTAGCGACAGTTTTTTAGTAGCTTCTGCATAGAGCACAAACTGCACATGCATGCTTTCCTGTTTTGTATCTAGCTTTATAATTTCATTATATCGAATTTCAAAATAATTTCTTAATTATTTCATCGTAAAACACACACCAATATGTCACCGATAATGTCAGAAGTAATGAAATGTGGTTGTGTAAATATTTTACAATCTATAGAAGTCCATTGACAAGTAAAGAAAATTAAATTAGTAGTATTCAAACAAATACATTATATTTTCTCGTGGATAAATTTTTTGTGAATAAGCAATTCTCTAATTTTGTTAAAGGAGTTTCTGAAATGCGTTATTCTACCAATATAATACTAAAGTAACATTTTATAAAGTTGATGATTCTTTCGTGCCTACGTCTTTTTTTATTTTTACAGTGCATTATATATAATTAGATACAAACGTTATCTACTAGAATATTAATCCCGTAGTATTAATAATCCAATCATGATACCTATGAATTCTAGTATAAACACCTATATTATTGCTGGAGTTACATGTAGCACCAGAAGAGATGATTCCATACAACTTATTATTAATGATAGCTGGGCCTTCGAAATCGGCTTGACAAGCATTGATATCATCGCTACTAGCGCAAAATAGGTTGTCAGATATCGGATTGTTATTGTTAGCGTTTTTGCAGTTTTCCTGATTCATGACTAATACAATTGCGAATTTCAACCAATATGGTAGACTCGAAATATCCTGTGAATAAAAAAAGTTTGGGTATTCGTTTTAAATACAGTGATGATAAACAAACAATTATAGATTGATGCCAACATCTCTAAAACCAGATATAAACATTTGTTGGCCTTCTGTCGGAAGGTCAGACGAGTTTGCGATTGGTATTGGCTTCTGCTTATTATTGATTTTAATAGGCTCTTGCAGCTGAAAAATATTGTTACTTTGTTAGTTCAGTTTTTGTCTCATCTTTGAACGGTAAGCTTTTTAGTTGCCCAAATTACCTTCATTAGAGCAATATCATTGTCGTAGGTGTCGGTGTTGTAATGAGGATGTATAATCACTTTTTCTATTTTGCGCGTTGTTCCCATAATGGCTTTGTATGTACCACTTGTTCGTATCAGGATGTTTGTTTTGTTTCTGTTGTATAAATATGATCGAATATGAATATAAATTAATTGTAGCACGGTAAGTTTTGATTGTTAGATGAGCTTACTTGAGGCAATGAACTGTAGTCAAAACCCACCATTTATCGATAACAGTTGCACCACACTTATTTACCGAAGTGTACCAGGTGTCAGTCTGGAAACATGTCGTATTTCATTTTCTAATTGTAAATAATTGAAAAAGAAATGCTGTTTGTTCATTCAGAATTCTGCTCAAATAGACACTAACCTTATACGACTCTTCTTCTATATTCACAAAACCACCTTTCACCGTCCTCACATTCTTACGATACCCATTTTTATCTATGTACCAAGTCTTGAATTGTAAAAATATTATTACATTTTTTAAATTCCATTAACCTTACCAAGATTATAGCATTGCGCACCAATGATAATACACAGTAAAATATACACGGCCTTCATATTTACGCGATTGTGATTATGGCAAAAACTCAATCTCATTCGACTCATCCTCTAGCTTATATAATCGATTTTTATCTCATATATAGTCAATGACATGCTCATGAGATTACTCTGTGACATTTGAATAAGATAAGTAAAAGTGTGTTTGATTTTCTTAGGAGTGTTGTTGCATTATCGCACATGTTCTCTCTGAACGAATTGCGTATTATTGGACCACTATTGACACGGGCAGAGAGAGATTGATTGATTTAGAGCGAGAGAGAGGGAACATTAAACAGTAAGCGATTTTAAGATTTTTTTACGAGTGGTCGTTGCGCGTAAATAGCTCGAGGGACAACTTCTAGTCAATCGGTAGATTCATATTCCTAGCTGATTTGCTCAAGCGGTGAATTTTTCGAAGCAATTAAAAAAGTTGTTGACGACGTTGAAAAGTTGTTCGTTAGAATGTCAACAGGGACACAGTACTTGCCAAGATCTTTTATGAGACGGAATTTATATTGGGGCAAGAGCATACTTTCCGATAAAGATTAAGGAAATGGCATTATACGAGACAAAGTTAGAAAGCCAATTAAAAGTGCCATTAAGAACTTTGTCGATAAAAGCTTACACGAACCAGTTGCATGTGAAAATTTGATCACACTACGGGAAGATTCATCCAATTGTAATGACTTGGACTGTCGCAAACAATGCTCACATAGGCCCATAAACATCTCTCCAGTGCTAACCCGGTCAAAGTGAGCTGCTGTTACTGCTCTGCAAGTGGAATCCGGCAGTGAAATTATCGCTTGCAGTGGCAGGGTGACGCCATCACAACGATAAATTTCGTTTACGTTCGGAGGCTTCTCTCTCGCGGTAAGTTGATTTACATTGGGAATCGCTCTTGGGTCTGTGCGTCGTTTGGGCAATGATATCTCTACTATCTGGTGGTAAATCAGAATTCTCCGATGAGCATTTGCCAGGGGAAAGAAAAGCTCGCAAGTTTATCGGATTTTCTGTGCGCGCATGTGGAACAGTTAAGGCTTTTTCGATCCAGCGATGTTGATTTGGCAACATTTTTTCACAAATTTACTGATTCGTCAAATGAAGTATTAAGTACTGTAGTGTAAAGCTAGTACCAACTGATCTGAAAAGTAGTAATGAAAAAATATTGGTGGAAAGGATTAAGAGTTGTAATTATGATGGAAAAATAAGGTCGCAGTAGAAAAGTATTCGATATGGTTAGTCGGGAAAAGAATTTCGCAGGTCGCAAGCTTTGTAAAAATAAAAATAGAATTTCAAAGTAACAAATTATTTCTACACCGCGTCCTCGTATCTAGAGTTAGAAAAATTAACGGTTCGCTAGATTCTTGCGCAACGATTCTCGTCGCGAGTGAGCGAAGTGTCATGAGCCACTAGTTAAGCTCTTAAATTGATAGAACACGATAAATCTTTTTAAATATTCTTGGCAGCGTTTCGACATTTTAGGAAGAGAAAAGAACTGAAATGTCAAGCGCTGTTAGCCAAGTCCTACATAGACAACACCGCAGTCAGCTATTTTCGCATTTTATACTTTGTAATTAGCTCAACGTCCCGTAAAAATTTTGCACGCACACACACTGGCTTGGCGTTGGTCATTAGGGCTAGAGTTGTAAACTGCTGCTGCGGACTAGTTTTACTAAACTGCTTTTCGCGGCAATGTTTTTGGCAGCAACGCAAACAGCTCTTTTTCGACCGTTTGCGCGAATTTTTCGCTTGACGTTTGACTGATCGTTGCACGCGGCGGCGGCAGCAGCAGCAGCACATTTTTGCGATCGAGATCGCGTCAAGCTTGTGATGTGGGGTGGACGAGTGAAAAATTGCCGGACGAGGTAATGGGGTTTGTGTGTGTGTGTATGTGTGTGCCGTTGAAAACTGGCAGAATTGGGCCGTTTATTCTCGATGGGAGGTCGCGATGCGCTGGTTTCACGACTACTCTGACGGCGACGTGGAAAAATTACCGATTGACGGAGTTCTGCCGCGCTTTCCTGATATATTTTCATTGAAAAATTTTTTTTTTTCATCACAAAGTTCCATTATAAATTGCTCTTCAATTACTTGAATTCCCAAAAATTAAGATAGCCACTTCTTTCCTATGAAACAATCGCAGACAGGCAAAATATCAGCACTTGCATTATTCATGTTACATGAACCTCGTTCTAATATGAAGTATAAATTGAAGAATTTTATATCCTCTGAAATAAAGAGTTCTTCGATGTTTTTCGTATGACGAGATATATTCTACTCTTGCAAATTTTCTCTTTCGAGTTTACATACTCGACCGAAGATTTACGGTTGTCGAATATTTAATACGCACGCGTCGCACATAACATATATAAGTATGCAAATGAAGGCGAAAAATAAACGCCGCGATAAGAAAAACAGCATTTTCAGTTCTGCAAACTTTGCCATTTTACGATAGTCCACTAAGTTATTAGTTTGAAGTGGCAGCGATCGAAAATTGGATTTCGGGCAAAGCGACTTGGGCGAAGTAATAAAAAGTCCACTTCTGATCAGCTGGAAATCGAGTATCGACGCTCGAAAGAAAGGAGAGGGGGGTCAGAGAGTCGGCCTAGAAAGCATCGGGATTCTCAAGGCGTGACATTCCTCGCAAGCTCGGAGAAGCAGCTCTTTTTCCTCGCGCCTTTCGTTTTCAAAGCGATCCGGCGCTGCTCACTCGGAATAATCCTCTCAAACGCTTGCCTCGCACACTCGGTGCTTCGTTTACCGTGTTTCTGTCGGATATGTATGCTCTCTGTTACCATGCGGCTTAGGGGCGGCGGCGCGTCGGTGGTGACAGAGTATTGATCAAACGGAGAGAGAGAGAGAGAGAGAGAGAGAGTGAAGGGGGAGGGGGCGCGTGTGCGCCGCTCTACTCCGCCTTTGCACGCGAGACAAAGAAGAGCTCGGCAACTACTACGAGTACTAGCGCTCGCCCTAGTAGGGAGAAGGGAGAGTTTGGAATTCCGCTGACCCATTTGGCAGACTTCCCGAAAACGATAATCATCGCTAGCCCGGCGCTCTGCTGGCCTGGTCACTCGTGCCCAAGCACAAAGAGACCCGTTAATTTTATGGCTTTGTTTTGTCCGCAACAGAGAGCTTTCAATGGATTTATGGGTTCGAGCTTGTGAGGGATTCGGGTCAAGTTCTGAATTTGAATGCCCCGTGCGCACACCGACTTGCGCTTTTGCCTAGCGAGCACTTTGTCTCCATTCTGTATAATGAACATTTTACTCCTAACGTGCTCGACCCGAGAATCGTCGGCTTGGGTATAGTTGTTTCATTAAAGTAAACTGTTTGTCAGCGACATTGAGGAAACACGCGAACCCGTGAACCTGAGAATAAAATTATATACATATATATATCATTAATCATAATAGAAAGTGGAGAACGGAGGAGAGATTTACCAAAGTATACGCGCGCAAGAAGAGCTATCGTGGCGAAGCTTACCAAGTACAGTCATTAACTTTCATCGCGATGCCACTCACTTAATCGTCATTATACCAAGTACCTCGACGCGAACGCTAATGTCATGCATAAAACTACATTTAACGGCTTGACGTTCGAGTATAAGGCCTCTTTAATTAAATGCCTGTCGAGGCGGTATGCCTATCCATAAAACGCCGAGTATGTAAGCTTCTTACGCGTGTGACCGACCGACGTATTTTTTTCTTTGTTTTTTCGTTATTGTTAGCGTCTCGTTTCAATGTACGCTCCAAAGTAAAGTCGAGAGGCGGACGCAAGCAAACACAGCACATCCCGAATACTGGAGCGCGTCGAGCGAACTTTATCAATCAATAACGTTAGAGAGCGGTGCGCTTTTGCTGCAGACCGAGCGAGCCTATACACACGTGCATTTTACGCGCGTGCTCCATATATTCCAACGCGCGCCTGAGTTTATTTATAGATTGCTAATGTACCAGCAAGCCGCGGCAGGGCTTTTCGCGCCGTTGAACCAGTTCCCGTTCGTCTGTAATTTTGGGCTCTCTCTCTCTCTCTCTCTCTTTCTCTCATTCTCTCTCTCTCTCTAAATTCGCCGATCGATGCAGCACTGTGCCTTCAATTTCTGCATTGTGGCTGATTTCTACCTTTGATCCAGAGGACCAAGAGAGGACTTGCAATTAGGAGGTGAAGATTGAAAAATTGAACGATTTGTCGGATTCCAATTCGAAGATAACGAGTTATATCACTTTCGGAGAGAATTTCTCGTACCAACTAATGTAACCTTAATAATCCAATTATAACTGGCTTCGATTGAATTTCTTACTTTCCGCATTTATTAAAAATATCACCGGCCTTTTCTTCGGTTTCCACTCGAATCTCTCTCTCTCTCTCTCTCTCTCTCTTGTTACAAATTCCGAATATTCTACTTAATACTTCCAGCGCAGCTCTCTGGTTTGTTTGCGAACATTAGCCCGAGGGTAAAAAGATTCAAATGCTATAATCGCATTGTACTGCCGAAGAATGTGATTTTTTCAGGAGAGCACATTTTTTTCCCTACAGACTCGACTGCTCGAGGAATCTTTTAATAAGGAACCGTTGCCGTGCCATTGCTTCTTAAGGGATTGCCATTTGTATTTATCGTGGGATAGAGATGGCGAGAGATGCAAAGCCAGATGTGTTTTAATGAAACTACTTCTCTTCCCTCCGCGCGCCTTCGAAAGAAGCTCTGCGATTCTGGGATCAAGCGCAGTCGGAAATTATTGTTGTTAAGAATCCCGCTTAACTAATTTCAGACTCGCCACTCGCGAGAAGCCATTCCCCAAAACGCTAATGATTCAAATCCGCGCGCGTTTCCTTTGAATTCCAACGAGCGCGGAAAATTATCAATCAGCCTTGCACACAAAAGAATGAAAACAAACGTTTTGCTTTCCATTTTTTTGCCGGCTAAACTGACAAAGCACATTTTCATTTGTGTGGAGAGAGAAGAGAAAGTGGAGCAGAGCATAGCTTGGAAGCAAATGTGTCACAGAAAGAGAGAGAGAGAGAGAGCGCCAACTGCTGCCACCGCCCGTCGTCGTCGTCGTCGGGAT